CCTCCCCAGGGAAGGGAAAGAGCTGCCACCCGCCACCCACCTCCTCCTCCTCTTCCAGCCGAAAGGAAGCGCGCCAAGCCCTGCCATCCCGCTCACAGATGCCATGGGGAGCTGGGCGAGGACAGGCATCCTCCGGGACTTACTCTGTGCCAGGAGTTTGGCCACGCTGCCCTGGTTGCTCTCCTGGCTTTCCTGGGTCTTGCTGGCCAGCTGCTTGTTCACAGATTCCAACCGCTCTGGTCCAAAGGCAATTAAACCCAATTAAGATTTAAATACAAGATTTCAGCCGGAGGAAGTGAGAGAAGCCTGGCTTCCCATGGAAACACCTCGGGGGAAAAGCTGGGGGACAAGAGAGTGCCTGGGGGATGGGGACACAGAGGGTCCCTCACCTTTCAGGTCCCGGTTGAAGTCCTGGAGCCGCCGCATCTCGCCGTCTCTCTTGTTCCTCATGGCTTTCTCCAAGGCTTCCCGCTTGGAAGATGCCTTGACGAGGTTTTCATAATCCTCTGAGATGCGCTGGATCTCACTCTCCAGCTGGGGTGGAGGAAGGGACAGGCCAGGGTTAGATATCCGTGGAATGAGGAAAGGAAAGGGAGATGTTGGCCAAAGCTCACCCGGGTCGCTCAGCCCAACCCAAGCTGCCAGAGAAGCTCAGCGCACCCATAGGACCCCCCCCCAGGGCTGACCTCCAGTGCACATTTTGGGGGGAAAACTAATTTTTTCTGCCTTTCTTCTTGCAGAAGAGTCCCTCCACAGGTTTTGGCTCTGCCGCAGCCCGGCCGGCAGGGAACAGCCACCCCTTGTACACAGCCACACAAAGGGCTTTCTGTGGCGGCCAGGGATAGGGGGCACAGGCGGCAGGAGGGAGTCACCGGAGAATGGGCTCCTTCTGCCCCTTCCCGGCTGCCACACTGCTGACATGCAGCTGCTCAGAGGGGAACAAGCCACCAGAGGGAGGGGGAGAAGGGATTAAAACACCAAAGGGGGTGAATTTTCACAGCAGCTGGTGGAGCATCCCCCTGGGTGGGGGGACATGAAGCCCTGGCCGTGGGGCTGCTACCATTTGCTCACCTTCTGGATGCGGCTCGCCTTCTCGGTGTAGCTCTCCAGCTCCCGACGCAGCTTCTCACTCTCCCGTTGGAGCCTCTCGTTCTCCCGCTGGACTGCGTCTGCCCGGGCCAGGTGGCTGCCGGCCGAGACTGCCTGGGCGCTCACCAGTGCCTCCACGCCGGCGGGGCCCAGCGTGCTGGGGCACAGGGCGCCCGGTGGCGGCAGGAAAGCGGCGGGGACGTGGGTGGGCAGCACCCTGCAGGGAGGGAGGAGAGGGTTGGTCAAGGGGCTTGGCGGCAGTGGGGGAGAGCCGACCACATCTCCAGCGTCCCACTGACCACTCCAAGGCCAAGCAAGTGCCAGTGCCTCTGGGTCACCCCAAAGGAGAAGAGAGGCTCCAGGAAGCACCTATCTTGCTCTTCAGAGTTGGGAAGCATTTGCTTTCTAAAAGGTGCTCGCCCGAGGACCCTCAAACACAAAATAAATCCCATCTCGCAGGGATGCCTTGACCTAACAATGCCAGGACCTGGCTGGTGGGTCAGGATGGGCTTCCAGACCCCCCGGCCCACCCTATTTCTGGGGATGCTGCAGATGGATGACAGCTCAGCAAAGCATGCACCTTGGAAGCTGGCAGCGCTGCCCCTTTTCCTTGTTTCCTGGGCAAAGCGAGGGCTCCTGGCACGGCTCCTCACCACCAAACTATTAATACGTCCTCACTATATTCAGAGGAGCAGGGCCAGCCCAGCCGCCCCTCACGCGGCCACTCCAAGTTCCTCGACATCCTGCGGCCGCCTCGAATACCCCGAGTGGGGCGGCTGCGCACGGCCTGGCCCCGCTCCGCCGCGGGCTGACACCCCCAGG